ATGGGTTATTTCCCGTCACTAGCCCCTCATACTTAACATGCAGGCCATAAGGGCCTGGGATGTAGACCTGAGTTCAGTTGGTTACTGAGCAGGGTGTCCCTACGGCCGCATAAGGGATTCACTCGTTTCCCAAATATGTGTTAATGCGTTAAACCTGAGGGCAGAACAAAATGCCCGAGTCGCATTCTGGCTTGTTGTAGTCCAGCTACGTGATCACTTTTGAGGGCCATAAATCGAGAAGGCATGAAAAAATGCAGTTTTCAGTCCCACAATCTGCTACGATGAGTGAGCGCCAAGCCCACGAGACGCAAGCCTGCTAAAAAAAAAGTTCACCTACATTATGCATGGGAATGGAAGTTGCATTGCCGTTGCATGAGTTTTTATTGCCCTAGAAGGGTGCCAGTCAAATAGAAATTCATTTCATGTTTTAAAAACGAGAAAGGACGACTTAAAACGGTTGAGCACGTGCTGTAGAGTTGAAGACAAACGACCAGTACGCCAAGCGTTTTACGCCCGTAAAAATAAACGCAATACGCCTACTGATATTTAAGAAGTAGATTGTATTGTGTAATAAACTGACTAAGCATTCGTCTTGGACGACTTCTTGAGAATTGCAAGTAGGAAAAATTATTGGAGGTCAACCCTAATACACTGACCTTCGTCCTAGCAGCTCTCACTCTTCGAGTGCAGTCTAACAAATTTCAAGCTCAAACAGTTTCACCAAGAAGACCCGCATTTAAAAATAAAAGTAAATTAACTGAGAACCTTGCTAATCACCAATCGTGACACTACTTCCGAGTTCGATTTCGGCTAGTTCGACATTATTTTGTTATTGCAGTCGGGTGCGATAGATACTGCACAAGTTTCACTAAGTCACGTGCAAGTCATTGGTGCTGCACCCAGCGCGCCTTTGGCTACACAGGGAACGCCGTAATTCGGAACGGCCAAACGAACTGTGGGCATACGAACAAGACAGTTAAGGTCTGCACTTCCTGCAGAC